AGATAAATTCGTCAAATGGTCATTCCGGAGAGAGGGCTCAGAGAAGTGCAACTGGTACGCTGGTGAGGGGGGAAAGACGCTTCATGATGGGTTAACCTAAAGACGCTTAAAGACGCTCGGACGCTGTGATTAATAGAAAGGGACAGGGTAAGTTGAAGCGGGTGGCACGGGACGGCACTGCCTCGCCAAGAATTCCGAGAACCCATGACCGCGGAACAAGAGCACATGAAAGGCCATAGGTCCTGGTCCCGGTGATCATCCGTCGACAAGACAGGGGATTCTACTGAGGACAAGGTAGACTTCCACAACCAACACTCCACACGTCCTGAGCGAGATCTGGCCATCCACCCCGAGCACCAGAAGATTTCAGAAAAGGTCAAGAACTAGCACTTGTCACAACAGCAACTGAGTCGGGATAAACATCAGTTGGAAAGGCTAGGGTTCTTCTGCAGGGGACTGAACAATTACAGGGTCTTGAGGTACAGTATACTATCGTATCATATCGTAACTATGTTTGAAGGAAACCGGACCATAATTGCTACGGTCCTAAATGTAGCTCTTCGGGCTTTTAAACTCAAGAGTTTAAGGTTCCGAGGGCTCGTGGGGATTTGGCTTCCGGCTTGTGGCAACTGACCCCAAGCCCCTCGAGCCACAAGAGTTGACAAAGGAGGCCCTGCCACATGTTGCCACTCCTTGTCTTGGTAGGTGGGGTTTAGAGGTAACTGTACATGTGTACCCCCATTAAAGCCCAATTGAAGTACTTACTTACAACCTTACAGACCATGGTGCATCAGACTCCGTGCGTCGGCTTAGGGGTTTTGGCTTCAAGGGATTCTCAAAAGGTTCTGGGAATTTTCTGAACGCACGGTCTCTCACTGACAGAACGGCTTTGCCCGGCCTTCCACGCGTGCTCTCAGAGTGGCAGCACCACCGTCTTAGCCATCCTGTCATTGGCCGGGGTGGCCATGTATCTAGGGGTTTTGGCCTTTGTTGGGTTTAAGGCTCTCAGCGGTAATAACAAAGCTTCGTGTTGGGGCATCATCTTGGGGATGCAAGTAAATCATAGGTGATTTTGTCTCAACATTGCCACGCAAGGGCTTAGTCTTGGCCTCGTATCGGAGCTTTTGAGGTGCAGTTGAGCCGTTGTTAGGGTTTTTTGTGTTTGGCCTAGGCACTAGAATAGAATGCTCGGCTCAGGGTCTACGATTTCAAGTTTAAGATGGATGCTAGCAGGGTCTAGGAGGTTTCCTAGCACACCGCACCCCAACCCTGCCCTGTCAGCAAAACTCGACCAGGGCTTATGTTTTACGGTTACGGGACAGGGATTTAAGGCTTAAAGGTTTAGGGTTAAAGGAATTTAGGTTTCGGTTTCTGGCTTGGGGTTGCTTCTGGACACTTTGAATGCCAAAAGCTTCCGGCCAAGGCCTTAACGGGGCGTTTTAAGCACCAAACAACCTACAGGCTCAATCCCCAATGAAGCCGAAATGAACACCCCGAATCCTAAGCCCGAAAAACCAGAACCCAGAAACATAAATGTTGACACGTTACCCAACCCAACCATCGAACCGTAAACCGAAATCCCAATTGCGGCTTCATCTTACGTGCCTTAGCTAAAACAGTATAGGCAGACATATTTCGCGAGCCATCCCCATTGACTTTTTTGCTGCCATGTTCCTCAGGAGATTAAGGTTTTCAAAATGCAAGGTTTCTTCCGAACCCGGTGATCGCACCTTCTGCTGCTGGATCTGGAACACCTCAACCTGCCGGTAAGCTGAAGCGTAGGGGCTTTCGCAAAAGGAGGCTTGGGTTTTTGGGTGCGCCGATGTGAGACTTGGCGTTTCGGGTAGAGTGTAGGCACAGAACTACAGGAAGTAAGCGCACGTAAAACTACAACTTGTGGATGGTGTTCCCTCAACACTCATGGATCAGCGACCTCTTGGTTCAAACACGGAACCCTACCCGGCAAGCCTCATTTTTTGCTGGGGACGGGCGGCGGGCTTGCAAACAAGCGAAGGCCTCTTGCAGCCGTGTGAAGCGGCGGCTGTACCTGAAGGACCGGTACGGTGTGTCATGATCGATCCCGTGCAAGTCCTAACGGAGTGATTAGGGGTTTGCTTCCGATCTCACTTCACACGTTCTCATCTTGGCCGAAGAAAACTTCACTCTCACAGCGTCAAAGATCCAAGCGAAACTCACAGCCTGAACCCACCAACCCTACATCAGTGGGACCGTGATGCGTCTGGGCTCTGGACAGCTCACAGGTACCTCCAATCTGCGCCAGCCTGATCTGCCGCTGGTCTGGTGTGGGCTTTAGGGCTTGTTTCAGTTTTGCCGGAAGCAACCCGAACGAAACCTCTCGAGGACAGGGGTTGTAAGGTCCAGGATGCAGGCTTTGCATAGCCTGACTCACCAGCAAGAACCAGGAAACCCCGCAAGTCCTAAGCTTAGACCTTAGACCCATAGTGCCAGACTCTTGGACCCCTAATTGCATCCTCAACCTTTGCTAATTGCATCCTCACCCTTTGACCTAGGGCCCGAAAGGACGAGTGTAGACGCAATACCCTCACACCCCATATGATATAAGTATATAACCCCAGACTCCTCCAATTCGGTCCAGGTGCCCCGAAAGACATCTCGCTCGGTGGGCCCCCTGGAACGATGCTGGCAACACGCCCGACTCGGGCGGGAGGGCACACCTGAGAAGGAGAGGACATCGAGTCTCGAAGTTGCTTTGAAGAACATTCGGGCTAAGGTGGCTTAGGCTAGGGCCTGGAGCTAGAGCTCCGAGCTCCTGGCATTATGGTCTTAGATTTGGGCGTTGTGGGGCTTAGTCGCTTCTTGATTCAGGAATACGGAGTCTTGCTGGGTTTGCGGTGTGACGCTTCAGGTGCCTAGCAGAAGTTGCTCCAAAACGGCGTGCCAGCAGCGGCACCAACCGAGACTTGCGACTGTTTGCTGGGATGTGATGGAAAAGCGCACAACTGAATCTCGATTCGACTTTGAGTGACAACGCGCTGCTCCACTGCTCCAAATCAAAGACCGTGCGAAAGTCTTGCGTACCCCTTTTGGGTCTCGGCACCGTATGTGGGGGGCTCTCATCTCTACCTGAGCGCGGAAACTTCGTAAGGGAAGCGAAGCTTCTAACTGGGGTTTATAAGGGTTTAAGCTGGGACTGTTTTGGCAGAGATTGGTACTGGCTGTGGGGTGTTGCAGCGCTCCACCATACACGGCGACGACATCTGTTAACGAGACAAGAGCTTCACTGCTGACGGAACAAAAGCCTTCCGGACATTTTAATCCCCTGATTAATCCCACTAGGGCTCTTGATGACATTATGAACCCTCGCATTTAAGGTAAGAACAAATGATGCCATGTAGCGGTTCTTCGCTTCAGGCACCGCTTTTTCCGATGCAACATAGAATCCACGAGACGATCGGCCCTAAACCACTAAAACCCGCACGGGGGTCTTAACCGAAACTGAAAGCAGCAAACCTGGTTATGGGGTAATTGATTAATCAATTTACCCATTGCTACAACAAACACAAACCCCTTAACCCCCAAACTCTCCCCAAGCCTCCTAAACCCAAACAGCATGAGCTGATGGGGCCCAGGCTCGGCAAGTCTTGGCCAAGCCCAAACGGGACCAAGGGTGCCCCGTCTGGGCTATATCAATGCTGCATGCAAGGCTTTTGAGCCCATGACATGCTGCTCTGCGTGCTGAAGTGGTCGAGCAATCAATGAATTGGTGCACTTTCAGCCGAAGCTGTGAACCCCGGATTGCGAATACAAAACCGGCCCCATTGATTCGAAGATCTGACCTCTTGGTGGCGCCTGAGCACAGTGAATAGTGTCGCAGGAACCTCTTGAGCACGGCCCGGGCAATGTGCGGAGCGTGAACAAGAAGGCTCGCTTGGGGTTTGCGGTGCAGGATTCAAGCTGTAGGCTTCAGATTATGGCAGGTTAGGGTTCAGGGGAGACTTCACACCGCACACCTTGAAAAGCTCAAAGATTACCGAAGCCGCGTTGTAGGTCGCAAGCTAGAGCAAGCTGAAGACGTAAATGAATCTAGGACCCTGCAAACAAGCATAATGTGACCTGCATACCATACTCTAGTGCTACAAGGACAGACATAGGATCTGGCACAACATTTACAACAGCCCATGGGCTGAGGCTTCTTGCCAAAAGTGTTGCAAGAGACTCCAAAAGCCCTTGATTTGAGGAATGCAGCGATAAAGAGACGCTTCGCGCTATGACTTACATGTGTGTATATATATATATATATATATATATATATATATGTTATACACGCACAGCAAAAGAAATCCTCAAGGCCTGCTTCTGTCACCATGTAAAGAAGCATGTGTTTCGTTTGTGTTTCTCTGGAACATCAGTTTGAAACACAACTTCCCTCTCGCTCTTTTCATATGTATGTTTCTATATACACATGATTACACATGTGTGTGTCTGTATGTATGTATGTTTGTATGCATGCATGTATGTATGTATGCATGCATGCATGCATGTATGCATGCATGCATGCATGCATGCATGCATGCATGGATGTATGTATGTATGCATGCATGTATGTATGTATGTATGCATGCATGCATGCATGGATGTATGTATGTATGCATGCATGTATGTATGTATGCATGCATGCATGGATGTATGTATGTATGTATGCATGCATGTATGTATGTATGCATGCATGCATGCATGGATGTATGCATGCATGCATGCATGCATGGATGTATGTATGTATGTATGCAGGGCCCAAATCGCTCCTCAGGGAGAAAATTGTTGGCCCCAGCACCCCAGAAGTGGGTGCGCTTACCTTTGCCTCCACGCCATCGCCGACTTGGCATCGGAGGCTCCGCAAAGCCAGATCGAGGACCAGAGCTGCACTGCGAGAGGGACGACAAGCCCCTCACTTCCGTGCTTGGTCCCTACTGAGGCACCATAGCACCTGCCCATCCCTCTTCAAGAAGGTTATTGTGCATATGGGCAAAAAGCCCAAGGCAGAAGCTCCATGGCAGCGCAACGCCAAGGACCATGGATACGGCCACAACGGCCAGCACGGCCAAGGATACTCGCTCTGGCATGGAGCTTGGCGTTCTGCTGGCTCGCCACAGGAGCCAAAGGAACCGAGGCCGAGACCACGTTTCCCTTCCTACGACCAACAGTGGGGGGCGGAACCGCACCTTCGCGTCATCCGGGAGGAACGTGTGGAAGCTCCAGAGAGACCAGAGACTATCACGGCAAAAGGAGCACAACAAGCCGTGAACATCCTCAGGAAAGCGGAGTCCAGAGTCACCCGCATCCAGAAGGAGCGGAAAGAGAAAGCAGCGCGCTTCTCGGACTACGAACAGCAACTCATGACAGCTTTCATGGAGGAAAGGCAGCGACACACCGAAAGACAGTCGCAGTTGGTCAACGAGCTGGAGGAGGCCCAAAAGCTCTTGCAGGTGGCCAGGGAGAACATGGCCCAAACTGCACAGGGACTCATGGGAAAGACACGGATGGACGTCCAAGACACTTCAGCCGAGGACTGGGCCGCCATGATCACAAAGTACTCGGAGGCCCCAGTACGGGAATCACATACCGTGGACCCGGACATGGCGGAGATCCTTCGCCTCTACAGGAGTGGGCAGCTCATCCAGGCACAGGCACCCCAGCCGGTGCCACCTATGGACAGTGGGTTGCATACCGCTGACATGCTGCCCCGCCAGGTCTTGCGACCGATGCTGGGGAGAATCGGCCACCTATTGTGGACCCGGGCACACATGGCCCGGCACACCCGACACCTACATATGGTGCTGCTTCCCCCCAGAGTGGGCTCTTCCGATCGTCACCATACCCGACGACCTCGCCTGTTTTGACCAAAGCAGCTTCCAAGTGGAAGCTCCGCATGGCACAGACCAGCATGTATCTTCCCCCTCTGCGAGCGACCAGCGCCCTTCCCGGACTGTTCAGAGGGACGGCAAAGCCACAGACTACTGGCCCCTCCCTGCAGGAGAAGCTCGATCAAAGGCGCGAGGCCGAGCGAATGGGAACTGCCATGCACCCCTTTCGGCTCCAGACCGACAACATGGAGAAGGACGCCCCAAGGTACGATACCGATGGCAACCGAGTTGGTCACCAACAGGAGATTTCGGACGAAGACGACCCTGGACGACGCATGGCTGGGAACTCACCGGGTCTTGCGAAGTTGGAGTGGCACCTTTTACTAGATATGGCTCTGGAGCATCGCGGCCACTGAGCGATCGGCTGGGTGCACTAGACCGGCCTGGAACACTTGAGCTTTCATTGGGGAAAGCTCCTGTGTACCCGTACCGGATTGGTGCTCACCTTGCCCTTGGCACGGTGGCAGGGATAAATCTGAGAGCCATATGGCCTCACACCTGTACAGTTCGGTGTGCAAAGATTTACCAAGGCAGCCAGTGCACAGGCTCCAACCTGTCACAACCTGAAGACTGGGCTCATCTCTGTCCATCCTGTCGTTTGTGGCAGCGACACAGCTCCCTCTTTGCCTCCCTGACAGGATCCGTTACGTTCTTACTGGGTTTGTCTGAACGAGCGACTCCTTGTCAGCCTTCTTCCTCGCGAGGACAGCCGGCACATTGTCTTTTTGTGCTGGACTGCCCTCCTCCGCCAGCCTCCTTCATTGTTGAGTCCCTCTCCGTTTTCTTCTACCGATATCTGCGTTCTCTGTTTGCCAAAGTACCTGCCAGAACCTCAGACAGAGACGCACTCGGAGATCACAGGCTGATGACCACCGATCGGCTCATCATTCCAGCTGCTTCCGCAACTTGTGTAGCCCATTGAGTTGGTTGGTCCTTGGGTGTATACCCCAACAGGTTTGGGCCGCACCGAAACAATGGCACGATGTCGTTCAGGGTGCTGAGCATTTTGCTAGACTGCAACCCGAAGGACTGAGCAGGGGTGTTTTAAACAGTGATGACCGACCAGGTATTGAGGAGCTTGACGGTAGAATCCGTTTAATGCAGGCAGCCCAGCGGCATGATCTCGAACGCCCTCTTGAGAACACAGCCGAGCTTCCTATTCCCCCCCTCCACTCGCCACCTGAGGTCGGAGACCCTGAGAGGCCATCCTTCGAAGGTGTCTGTCTTGTACTTGCACCCAGGCACCAGAGTGAGGTCTTACATCTGACATTGCGTCCGCCATTTGACCTCGCCACCTTCTTCAATGCTGTTCGGGATCGCTTGCATAAGCTGCGACTTCCATTCTGTACTGTTACTGCTCCGACAGTGCCGCAACTTGGGCCAGACTTTGCATCGATTGTGGTTGCTCCGAAGTGGATTCCTCAGGTCAGCAAGCAAGTCGTTGTATACGACTTTCGTGCACTTGGTGGCCCTGTTTATGCTGACATCACACATGAGAATCTATCACACTTCGAGTGCTTACGTGAAGCCTCTCATCATGGCTTCCACGACTGCAGCATTTATGCACAAGGAGGTTCCAGAGCGCTCGAACCTGGAGACACAATCCTCGCCACCCTTGGCTGTGTCATTCAATTCCAGCCCACTGGTACACCGGCACAGTGGTGCTCAACATTGCACGCCCGTTTCGACAGACCACAGTGGTGGCTTGTGCATCCTTCCCTACCAGCTGAGGTCGCCGACAAGCCTGTCCTGACCCTTTACCATGACCGCTGCCTGGCCTACAGTGCTCAGAGGTTTCCCAACATCCAGGCTCTTCCTTTTCTTGCAGACCTAGTAGACCGGACCCCTGATAGAGTTTTGTTTGTTGCACCTGCCGGCGAGGAGCTCACCGATGTCGTCTATCGGGGTACCCCATGTCGAGACGCCTTGATCGTGTACCCACTTACTCCCTTTGCCGACAGACAGGGTATATTAGTCTTCCTGGACGCAAGACAGGTCGGCCTTGATGTGTCACACATCTACCTTCAGTCATCGAATGTGGATCCTCACATGCTGGTACGATATCTCCATCTTCAACCCCCCCTTGCTATAGGATAGCTGTATGCCCTAGGCCTGGCAGGTTGGGTTTCCTACACCTCACCGAAATGGCTGTTGTTGTCTTTGGATATAAGCCCGACCACCCATGGAGCACCGATGAAAGTAGCTCGTCAGAAGAGGCTGAATCCGCAGAGGAGTCTGAGTGTGCATCAGATCCGGAACACCCAAATGCAGTTCTCGATCCCTCCCTCCCCCCCGCTGGCCCTCCACCGCCTAGACCAGTCAGGTACTCACCCCCTTCCGTCCCCGGCGCAAGGTCTAGGTCGAGGTCCAGAGCGCGATCACCCAACGGGGCAGCAGCCAGGACCCTGGACATCCCAGGTTCCAGCAATGCACTTGCGAGTACCGCTCTTGGGGTTATTTTAGGATTGGCCCAACCAAGTACCGTTGACGGATGTGTCGTTCATCGGTTCGGGTGCACTGGAGCCTTTGCTACCAATAGCGCTGATGCTTGGTACCAGTGTGACCGGCTTGCCTCCACATTTGGGCCTCCCGCCCTCTTTGTTGGAACGAGCTACATATGTGGCATCCTTCTTTGGCTCGTCTACTGGTCAAGGGCTTCTGGCCATCAAGCCAAGCTTCTTGCAGAACCTGCCTGTCGCAACAGAGCTGAGCGCCGAAACCTCCGCCGCGTGCGACATGCCACGAGATTTCTTGGCGGCCACTGGATTACCGACTTCCCATTTCGACATCCGGGTTTTGACCCGACGTTGCTCGATGATTGGAATACTTCGGATTCTGAGCCCGAGGCCGAACTCACCACGGTGCCATGTGCTATCCTGCGTGTCGAGTATACACCGGAACACCTCATTGTTGCTGTTCCTGTTCCGACAACCCAAGAGGAGGCAATCGAGGCCATTCAGGCTGTGCGACAACACGACTCAGGCCTGGACTTTCCCAACCTCCTTTCTGTATTGCCTCAGCCTGCCCTTGGTGTCGCGGTCTTTGCAGCGCTACCGCCGTGGGCCAGCGGCGCTGATATTGTCTGCCTAGACACTACCAAGATCGATGGCAGGCTCTTCCTTGCACAAGTGCCACAATACTGTTCTAAGCACGGATTGATTAGGAGCGCCGGTCTCCTCCCCGGCCTTGATTATGAGGTCCTTTTTGGCGTTGATCAGGTTCCCAGAGAGGATGACTTAGTACACCTCTTCCCTGGGGCCCTGATCACTTTCCTACACCCTGGGACCCACCAACCAGTCAATTACACTCTCGGAGAGCAGTTACAATCTGGCTACTTTTGGGATGGCCGCGCAGTACTCCCCACGCCTACCCATGTCGAGGCGCACTGTCTTGTGCATAAGGGTCCCGCCCGACTTTGCATTGAAGCCACTAGGCACCCGACACGCTACAGGGATGCTATTGCTGGAACTACTGGGGCTGACCCAGCTCGCATGCGCCTGTTTGCCGCCAGACCTGTTCCATCCGATATTGCCCTTGAAGGCATCAGATGTACCTCTGTCCTTGCTGTTGGCCACCCCCCTTCGGGGGTCAGGGGCACTGTTTGGCATTGTGCACTTCTAGACTGCAGGCCTATCGGAGCCTCATTGCGAACGATCCATGTTCACAATGGATATTAGTCAGCGGGCCTTGTTTGCGTTTCTGCAAGAGTACACCCCCCCCCGGGTACTCTCCGCGTCTTGATGGCCGTTCTGAAGAACCCGGTGTCCTCTGGATTGCACCTGGTCAAGTCGTCAGAGTCACCGCAGATATCGATGACAACCGTGTTTGTTCGTCTGCCGGCCCTCCCATTGAGTCTGGCCCTGCATTTGATGGTCGTCCCAATGGAACCTCTTCGTCTACTGGACACCGCTCCCATCTCGGCCCTGCAGATACTGGTTCGACCCCTGCTGGACCGGATCCTCAGGGCTACAACAGTCAACAGGAGCCTTCCTCTAGACGGGACAACAGCAATGTCGAAGCCATCGGACATCACCAGACTGCTGACACCTCCGGAGCCGATACCGCCATTGCGACTTTTCTTGTTTGTGTGCCGGATTTTGCACCCGAGACCATCACTGTGCGTATTCCAATTCCGTGCACTTTGCAACGAGCCCTGCAGCTCGTCACCCGTGAGAGAACCGATGTACGTCGACAATGGTTCCCTCGTCTCCTCCCTGTCAGTCAGCAACCGTACCCTGACAAGGCCCTTCTGCTTGCATTGCCCCCATGGGATGGGCAGCATGTCTTTGCATTGATAGATAATGGTTTCGACCCTAATCGGTTCTTTGCTGTGACTGCACCACCCAACCCTAGCCATCAGCAATTGCTCAGGCTAGCTGGGCCAACTGCTACACAAGATTCGCATGTATATATCAGGGACATACCATGGCCTCTCCCTGCTGAGTCCGCCGCTGTGCTTGAAGATGGAGACTTAGTTTCCGTGCAACCACGGAACCATGGGGTTCTCGTATTGACTGGGCTTGCTGACATGCTACGAGACCCAAGGTGCTGGACTCACACTAGCCTTGCTGCCTTCCCCCTTCCAGACCGCCTGTGGATCCTCACTGATGATCGCCCAAGGCATTTTACATTTGATCGCCGCAGGCGAGACCTTCTTCGACGAGACCTAGCTGGACAGCTACATGTCCCCGAGGGAAACCTTCGTGTCAGACCCGCCCACCTGCTTTTCGAGACCTTTGTGTCCAGGGCGTTTGAGTCAGCACTGCAGTGATTGTCACCTCCTGTGACATCCGTCTCGAGGCTAACGGCAATGGCCTCTTCCCGTATATCGTTGATGCTAGACCCATACTCCTTCTCTCGTATTTCTGTCACAGGTGGCTGGCCCGAGGCCCCACCACTTCAACACTTCGTGCACTTCAGCCCTGGGGAAGTCTTCACTGTCTCCTTTGAGCCTGCCCCTTCACATTGTTGGGATGATACAGGGTTTGGGACTGCAATTGTGCCAGTTGAGGCCACACCGAGCAGTCGAGCTGCCCCCACTGGAAGCGACACCCCCCAGGCAGCACAGGGAGGCCGTTCCCGCCCAACTGCTAACGATGGAGCCGCTTTCCAGCATACTGGGCACCAGACCCGTGAACGGCCCGTTGCCATCGGCCCGCACTGTGGCATCCAGGCCAAGCGTGCACCCACAGGTGGCCAACGCAAAGGGACTGGGCAACGCAGAGGCTTCTTCTGCCTCCTTGCTGGACTCCTATGCCGACCTAATGCTGCCATGCACAACCACGCCTTACATGGCACACCCCAGGCACCCTACACAGGTAACCATCAGGCCGACGGAGACGGCATGTGGATCGCAGGCAGACTACTTGACGCCCAAACTAGTGGGCCCCTGTGTGACACCTCTGCACTCTCTGTCCGACAGGATGACACCTGCCAGGTCTTTGCTGTCACAGCTCCAGACCCTACTTTCACCCGGCCTGTTGCTACGCCGTGCCGAGGCACTGCCGCTGGAGCCAGACTACCGCATAGAGTCACCAAGGGCACTCCTGCTCCTGCTGATACCAGTGCCGAGTTCCAGCCTTCTGCTCCTACTCCACCGTGCATTGCCACCGTCACTGCCTCCTGGCTAGGGCCCACACTGCTTGAACAGTCTCTACAGCAGACTAGGTTCCATGCCTTCTACCTTGCCAGCACACTTCTCGCCACCTTGTTCGAACACTCGACTCAAGGTGCTACCGTTGTGTCTCCTGTTGGCACTACTGAAGCAACGATCCTAGCACCGAACCTCTCTGCACCGACACCTATAGGTGTCTTGCGGCTTGCAAATCATGTCCCCTCCTACCGGGCTTTTGATCTCACTGCTGTCCACATGCCCATCGCGTGCTCTTTCGATGATGTGGCACCGTTGCTACGGCCTGGCCATTGGGGCCTCGCTCCATTACCAGCCATTGAGGTCCCGTGCGAGGTACAAGCCTGGTTTGAATCCTGGCAGCCAATAGACGAAGGTTTCAACTACGCTAATATTCGCGGGGTTGAGGTCTATACCGACGGCTCCTTCGATGGGGAACATGCCGCCTGGGCCTTCCATGTCTGTGCCTACACCGATTCTGGTGGGTTTCGCCTCGGATGGCAGGGACTTCCAACTTCTTTGACGCATCTCGCAAGATGCTCACCTTGTCCTTCTTGGGGACTACAATCTGCACATGCATCACAGCCATTCTGCTGCCATCGGCGACCTAGTCTGGGGTACGCCGAACCCAGATCCACCCGCCGCATTCTTTCGGCTACTTGACCATTTTGAGTTGTGGATCCCTAGTACCTTTGACGCATGCCACCCTGGCGATACTACCACATGGCACTCGCCAGCTGGCTCCGGGTCAGCCCGCCTCGACTACATTGCTGTTCCTTTGTCATGGCAGCCTTGCGGCGGGAGCACCACCAACCCGAGATTAGATTGGGGACAGAGTCGCACCGACCACATTGCGGTTCAGTTGTGGGTCAGGGGCACCGTCACCATCGGTAAGGCTGCCTGCCGGAAGCATGCCCGCCTTAATACTGCTGCTACGCGTACGCCCGAGGGCCGTCTGACACTCGAGCACATCTGTCGCAACATTCCCCTCCAACCTTGGGACCTCGACGTGCATCGCCATGCCCAGGCCATTGATGCCCACTTCCGAGACAGCCTTACTAGGGCTAGGGCCTTTCCAGTAAGCAAGTCCTCATGTCGCCACGAATACTTTCAAGCCTCCACCTGGCAGCTCCGCAACAAACGGGAATGGCTGCGCAAGCGCGTAAAGGGGGCCTCCCGTACCATCAATGGCTGGCACCTTCAGGCTGCGTTCCAATCCTGGCGCCAACACCGTCGGTTCTCCGACACCTTGCTTGCCTGCTGGGGGGACCTGCCGGTCTTCGTAGAGGACCTACGGCTCTCTAGCCACGCACTACGGGGTGCGATACGTCAGGACCACCTTGAACACATCCGGAATGTAGCTGCTGCTTCAGAGTCCTCCTCCACCCAAGCCATTGTGCAACGACTCCGAACACTAACAGGAGGGCCCAAGCGCAGGCAACGTGACCGATCCCCGCTGCCAGCTGTCGAAAAGACTGATGGGACGCTTGCAGCCACACATGAAGAAGCCAAGCAATGTTGGCTTCAACACTTTTCATCAATCGAAGCCGGATCCCTGTCCTCCCCGACCGAACTTGTCCGGGCATGTATTTCGCGACAAGAGGGTAAGGACCTTGAGGACTACCAGGTTTTGCACAGTGATGCCCCAACCCTGGGCCACCTCGAGTGGGCCCTACGGGACACTGCCACTGACAGAGCTTACGGCCTTGATGGGCTACCAGGCGAGCTTCTACATTTCTGCGCCCCACTGCTCGCGAGACCCATCTATCAACTCCAGCTCAAGTCGTTGCTCACTCTTGCCGAGCCAGTGCAGCATAAAGGCGGTGTCCTACACTGCGTTTACAAACACAAAGGGCCAAGACAACTTTGCTCCTCCTACAGGGGGATACTCGTGTCTTCAGTAGTGAGCAAGTCTCTGCACAAATTGCTCCGGAAGAAGTGCGTTCCAGCACTCCAAAATGTGGCATCGCCTCTTCAGGTAGGAGGTTTGCCAGGCTATCCGGTCACCGTGCCGGCCCATGCCACACGGATGTATCAGTCCGCCTGTTTGCAGAAAGGCGCCTGCCACGGCGTGCTCTTCTTAGATCTACAAGAAGCTTTCTATCGCATAGTCAGACCTTTGGTGACAGGAGGCCCCCTCACAGAGGAGGCCATTGCTGCAGCATGTCGAGCTGTGCATATGCCCAGTGGGGTATACCACGACATCCAGCGACACTTGCAACAGTTGCCACTATCCTCTGCCGCAGGGGCTAGCCCTTGGGTTGCCAGAGCCCTAGAGGAGACACTTCAGAATACCTGGTTTTGTTTCGCTGGTGAAGATGAGCTTGTCACCACAGCGATCGGATCCCGACCCGGGGATTCCCTCTCTGACCTTGTTTTCAGTCTGTTGTTCGCACGGGTTCTCAAACAGGTGCGCTCTGCACTCCTTGAGGCCGGACACGTACCCACAATTCCGTGGCATGCCGACATGCTCGGCAGCTTGCTGCAGCTTGATCAGTCCCCTACCCAGACTATCGCAGTGCTTGACGCCACTTGGATGGATGACCTGTCCATGCTACTACAGGCTACGAACTCTCGTGAGCTTGTTGAACGGCTGACTGCCGGTGCCTCCACGCTTCTCGACAAGTGCCTTGAACATGCCCTCCTCCCCAATCTCAAAAGAGGCAAGACAGTCAAGGCTCGGGCGGCGCAAGCATGGGTTGCGTTCAATTCCCGCAAGCAGAAAATCTTCTCCTCACCGAAGGTTAGCCCCAAGGACAAAGCTTTACTGTTTGATAGTTTGGTCGCCTCAGTGCTCTTTTATGGGTCGGGGACCTGGCCAGATCCGTCACCGGACTGCATACGTAAGCTCACTGGGGCCCTGCGGGGCATGGCCACCCAAATGCTTCGTCCTGCCCATGATTGCGCACAGGCATGGAAACTCGGCACAGCTCGCACCCTTGCCCTAGCCGGTATCCCGACTGCGGTGACATACTTGCACGTCCACCGGCTTCGCTATTTGCTTTCCTGCATTGTGCTATCGGTCCCCGAGTTGTGGGCTCTCGCTCACTGGGAGCGCAATTGGATGCGATGCACCGCCGAATCAGTCCAGTGGCTATGGGAGCGGGCTGATCCCGATCGCAGATTCCCGAACTGGACTTCTGCTTGGGAGGCATGGCGCGAAGAAGCCAAGCAACACCCCGGAAAGTGGAAGGCACGCATCCGCAAGGCACAGCAGTGCGCCCTAGCGGAGGAGCGCTGGCAAGCCGAGCTCCAGCGACACCAGGGTCTACTGCTACGTCAACTCCAACAAGTCGGAGCTGTCGTTTCCGCTGGGTCCGACTACGAGGAGGAGGCGACGGAATGCTGTGCAGTCTGCCGAAACGCTTCAAGGACTACCGGGCGTGGTCCGTCCACGCCTTTTCGACACACGGGCGTACGGACGAGATGCGACGCCTAGCCCCCGGCACGCAGTGCCCTGCATGCCTTAAACATGTCACCTCCGCGACTAAACTTAGCCGCCACCTTGGGTATAGCCGTCTTTGCCGCAGCAGGCTGTTGTCCACCAGCGCCCGCCACACCCCTGAACCAGGAGTCGGCAGCAAGAAGGCACCCGACGACGGGATCTCTTTGATGCCCGTGTTGCAAGCCTCCGGGCCTTGCCAAGGCCCCCTACAGTTTGTTGTTGAAGAGGAATCTGCTCGTCCATCTGCGGAAGTCCTGGACTGCCTTCTGCACATTGACCATGATGGGGCTATCGCCACCGCGGGTACGGCTGAGCTCTGGGCTCGCCTGCGTACAGCCTTCTCATGCGTTTGCCTGCAGGCCGCTCGGTTACGTGTCACAGCACAGTGCTGGAGGAGCTTCACTTCTGATCCGCACCAGTCTGTCCCTGAAGGCACTATTGACATCCTGCGTGAGGCCGCCAACTGGCTTTGCTGCAACGATCTGGTCTCTTGGCTTGTGCCGGACGCTGATGACAGCCTCCCCGCACCTGACACCTTCCGGCTCAGTGGACTTTATCTCGCCTCTCTTGCCTTCCATGGTGTTACGTGGCCAATACCGCGTGCGGCTTCCTCTGATACGATCTGGGTTCAAGTTGGGCCCGTCCCACTCGAACTCCTCCCCTCTATGCCAGAGGACCGATGGCTCCGCTACCAGCATTGCGATGCCCTTGCTGATCGAGCCAAGGGGTCTGTTGTTGACTACCTGGACCACTCTGACCCTGAGTGTTGCTATTGTTTGTCGACAATAGGCCTGCCAGTTGGATCCCTGCCAGACTCACCGGGAGACACCACATCCTACACGGCCGCGCTCCCCGGTGCTGTCTTGGCCTGGGACATTATCCGTGTGTCTGTTGACCACTGGACCCAAGGCGTTCCTACCAGACTCATACTACCCAATCCAGTTCCCTTTGAGGCACAGCCCCTCCTCCGACCTCCTGGACTTTTGGTGCGACAGTCTTCAGGTTGTTTCGTGATCGGGAACTGGTAGGACGACCTTTTTCGTTTCACTTAATTGGGTGCATCCCACAAAGGGCCGCGTCAACTCGACTCTACGCCCGAAACAGCAGAAACAGCAGATGTATGTATGCATGCATGTATGTATGTATGCATTCATGCATGCATGCATGGATGTATGTATGTATGCATGCATGTATGTATGCATTCATGCATGCATGCATGGATGTATGTATGTATGCATGCATGTATGTATGTATGCATGCATGAATGCATGCATGGATGTATGTATGTATGCATGCATGCATGTATGTATGTATGCATGCATGCATGCATGCATGCATGCATGGATGGATGTATGTATGCATGCTTGCATGCATGCATGCATGGATGGATGTATGTATGTATGCATGCATGTATGCATGCATGCATGCATGCATGCATGGATGTATGTATGTATGCATGCATGTATGTATGTATGTATGCATGCATGCATGCATGCATGCATGGATGTATGTATGTATGCATGCATGTATGTATGTATGTATGCATGCATGAATGC